GCTTCCTGTCGTGTTCGACTACCTCCCGAGTCGTGTTCTCTGCTTGTTCTCCAGTACTATTCTGATGACAATACTGTTAGGGGTACAGGCAGCATCCGTGTTGCATGCTAGGTTTAGGTTGCTGCAACACGCTAGGCTGGTTGCCCACCCGAATGCCCCATGGCTGCCACGCTTTGGTTCTAGGGACCCAAACCAGGGGGCATTAGTCGCTTCGACTTTGGTTCAGTCCATGCTCCCTGGTCCTTCCCTGTTGTTCATCCTGCACCTCCCCTTCCCCTGCTTCTTGCTCCCAAACATCTGAGGGTTTTGGAGTTGGAGCAGGGTTTAGTTGGTAATGAGACTCGGGCAGCCATGGGGGGCTGCCCCATTCAGTTTGGGGACAGTGGCATTTCAGCCAGTTCCTCCTACCAAGGCTTCTGGGGTCCCACCAGCAGGCCCCCTTCCTCTCAGCTTTTCCCTCGGACTCTGCTTTTTCTTCAGGGGTAGAGGGTACGGAGGACTGTTCTGCCCTGGGTCCTGCTTGGGGGATCCCCAAGTCGATCTGGGGGCCTTGGGGCCCCTTTGACCCTAGTTGAGTGTTCGTGCCCTCTTTGCGGGGCTTGTTGTTGCAGGGAGAGTGGTTTTCTTGCCCCCCTTCCCTGTATGAGTATGATTTAAATTTAGCTCCTTCCCGGGTTCGGTTCTGGGCTTCCTTGGGTTCTTCAGCCCCGTCCTTCCGGAGGTTTTCTTCCTCTCATATCTCCCCTCGGGAGGTTCGAGAGGCTCTTGCTGCGTACCTCCTGCAAGACCCGGATTCTGCCTCCGTGATGGATCCGTCCTTAATTGAGTTCGGTTCTTCTTCCCCGTATTGGGTGCTTTAGGAGGTTCCAGAGTCTTTCTGGCTGACAGGTTGCCCATTCTTTTCGTTGGGGCCGTGGCATGGGTTCTGTCGGTCCCGCATGCTTGATTTAATGTCTATCGTTCTGCAGGTTTACCTGGATTGGGGGGGGGGGGAGAAGAGATGGAGCACCTTAATGCTTGCTTGTTCGCCCCAGTGCTTTCTCAGGATGTTGGCCTTGTGCAGCTGCACATGCAAGTTCCTACCTTTTTGGCATTCTTGGTTGCAGAGGATTTGCACGACTGTGGACATTTGGCTTCGGTTTTGTGCTTCTTTTCCCTTCTCGAGCTGTCCTCGACCGGGCTTGTGGAGGACGTGGAAGCATTGAGTACTGGGCCTTCATTCGATGTGCTGTCCTCGGCAGTTCAGGTGTTGGCCACACTGTTGAATCTGTTTGCGCCTATCCTGTAGGAGGCGGTGTCTCTGTTCTTTGCTTCTCGCTTCGCGTGTTGATAGCCTGTGCTCATTCATTCCTTGGAATCCACTTGGGCCCTGGCTCTTTGGTTTTCATCCCTATTTTGTCCGTTGCTGTTTGCGAAGTCAGCTGTCATGAAGTTTTTGCAGGCGGCTTCGTCTAGTTGTCGTTCTATGTCGGACTTGTTGGTTCTCCGGGGCGGCTGTTCTAGGCCTTCTCGGAAGGGTCGTGCCAGGGCTCGGGGTTCTGCTGGACAAGGTGGGCCATTGGGGCCAGCTTCTGAGCCAACGTTGCCTTTGGAGTCGGCGTCGTCTTGTCGGTGTGATGATCGTTCTGTTCGTCGGCCTGCTTCTCGTAAGGGGCGTCGGCACTTTCACGGTTCACCCCGTTGATGGGGCAATGATGGGGAGGCTCGCTTTGTTTGCTCGCACTTGGTCCCACGATTTGTGGCCGTTTTCGGTCATGTCATCTGGCCTCTGGTGGCATTGGGTAGCTCCTCCTCCTCCTTCAGGGAGTTCGGGGCTGACGGGGCAGGCTTCTTTCCCTGCACTTCATCAGGTCATCTCGGAGTGTGTGCGCGGTTGGGCTTGGTCGAAATGACCCCGTCCCTCAAGTGGGTTTCTCGCCTATTCCCAGTGCCGAAACAGGACTGTGTGAATCTGCGGTTCATTCTGGACTTGTCCCGTCTGACCCCTGGATTCCTTGCCCCGCCTTTCGGATGACCACGCTGTCTCAGGTCTGGTTTCTGTTGGAGCCGGGTACTTAGATGTTGTCCCTGGACCTCAAGGTCATGTATTGACACATCCCTATTCATCCGGGGTTCAGGGACTGGCTAAGTTTCGTGGTGGGACGTCAGGCTTACAGCTTTCGTTGCTTTCCTTTTGGCTTGAAACTGGCACCTCGCGTATTCACACGTCTTACCCGGGTTGTGGTGTCCTGTCTGAGTCTGTTAGGGGTTCGGTTCCTGGCCTATGTCGACGTATGGCTGGTTTGGGCTTCCAGCCGGTCTGCTTGTCTGCTCGCCAAGGGGTGTGGTTCTTTCCCAGCTCGCTGGACTCAGATTCTTGGTAAACCCGGAAGAAGTCCCATCTGGTTCTGTCCCAGGTTCAGACCTGGCTGGGTCTTGTTTGGGACTCTCGGACCGCTTCCATGTGTCTCCCTCTGGAGGCATTGCTGAGGCTGCGGTCCCGCCTTCGGCTGCTTCTGTGAGAGTCCCAGGTCGCTTAGCAGTTACTCGAGCAGAAGTGCGAGAGTTTGAACTTTGCCGTGCTGGTCTATCTACTAGGTCAGGTTTGGCTTTGACATCTGTTCTGGTTCCTTCAGGGACTTCATCATAGTTCTGCTTCTCTTGCGATTGCTGGGTTCGTCCTCCGGGGGGCCTAGCATCGGTTGCTGTGTTGCCGGCTTCCTCTTTGGGGTTTTTGTGGTTCAGTGCCTTGGTGCCTACCCGAGCCCTCGCTCAATGTGTTCACGGGCACGTCGTCTTTCAGCTAGGCTTTGTGACCAGTGCTCACTAGGCCATCCAGGGGCGATGGGGTCTGTCCTACCATCCGGCTCACAGCACAGTGATGGAAATCGTGGCAGTTTGGTTGTCGCTTCGGAGGGTTTGGGTCACTTGGGGTTCGACCATCCGGCTCCATTCAGACTGTTCTCCAGTGGTTCATTGCGTGAACCACAGGGTTTCTCTTCAGTCCTTGCCTCTTTGGGGCTGGTCGTTTCGAGTGGCTCATCTACTGGATTCTTGGGGTTTGGCTCTCCATGCAGTTCATATCCGGGAAATGTCCAACATCCTGGCAGACAGCCTGTCTTGGTTCATTCCCCTGTCCACGGCATGGACGGTCGACGCCGACTCCTTCAGTTGGCTCTGCCAGACGTACGGACTCCCAGAAGCGGACCTCTTCACATCTGCATGGTCTCAGCGTCTCCCGGTCATTGTGGCGCCTTTCCCCGACTGCGAGGCTGTCTCGGTGGATGTCTTTCAGCAGGACTGGTTGAGGTGGGGTTACCTGTACCTCTTCCCCCTGGTCCAGCTGTTGCTTTGGGTTCTAGCTCAGTTAGAGTCCTACCAGGGAGATGTAGTCCTTGTGGCCCCTTGGTGGCCAGCCCAGCCTTGATTTAAGGTGCTGCTTGCTCAGTGTGCAAACCCGGGATGTTTTCCGTGGCTTCGCCTCTTCTAGTGGGTTAGGCCAGTCTGGTACAAGGCTGGTTCAGTCTTCTCCTCCTCCGCTTTTTGCGTCTGGTCTTTTTGACCTGGGTTTATCACTGTTTGTATGCTGATCAAGTTGCTTCATTGATGGTGTCTCACCCAAGAGCTTCATGGCCCACCTGAGAATTTCTGATTGGGTCGTATCGTCCTTTCTATATTGGCTTTTTCAGGACCATCATTTAATGCCTAATACTGTAGCCTCATATCGTGCTGCGCTGGCGGAGCTGCTCCAGCTAGCGTTCGGTGTGGATGTCACCTCTGCCCCGTTCCATAAGCTTTCTCATACTTTGTTTCACCTCCAGCCTGCTCATGTGCCACCTAAGCCATCCTGGTCCTTGAACAGGGTGCTCTCCTATCTTTCCTCCCCTCGGTTTGTGGTGGCACCTTCAGTTCAAGATTGTTTTCCCAAGCCTCTGATTCTGTTGGCAATGGCCTCTGGGGATCAGTTCGGTGAGCTTCATGCTCTCCTCCGGCGCAGGGGTTTTGGCACTTTTGGTCCTCGGTGGTAGGTTTATTAGGTTGCAACTTTCTCCTCCTTTTCTGGCGAAGAACGAGACAGCTACTTTCCAGAAGGGTTCTTGGGTCATTGATGCTTGGCTGGTCAGGCCAGGGATGCATCATATGTTGTGTCCGGTTGTAGCTTTCCGGCGTTATCTACGCACTTCAGCTTCGGTGGCTGGGGATGCGCTTTGGGTTGATTCGGTTTCCCTTGTTCCCCGTTTCAGGGGTCAGGTTTCTCAGGTCATCCAAAGGGTTATTAAGCCTAGTTGGTTTCCTGCCCAGATACCCAATGGCTGACCCTTCCCTGACCCGCAAACTTGCTGCATTGTTTGCTGCATTGGCTGTCGTATTTGCTAACATGTCCTGGGCTGATATTCATGCGCGGGATTTTTGAGGTCAAATGTGGTCCTGGCCACGCGTTATTAGGTTAACGTTCCTGCTCCTGGGCGTTCCTGTGTTGCTTTGGGTTGCAGGTTGCAATCAGTTGTCTTGACTTTGCGTAGAGGAGTGTGGTGGCCGCCTCCAGTAAGTTCCTCTTTTTCTTATCTTTGGTTATTTAGCTGTGACCTTTGCTTGTATGCTTGTTTCCTTGGGATTGGAGGGAGTTCTGCATCTCTGTTTGGGTTTTCTTTGTACTTTTCTTACCATGTGGGGGTCTGTTTTGTTATGCCTATCTTTCTGGGTGCCTAACCCTGGTCGATGGCAGATAAGGAAAAACCCCAACCACAGGGGGGTTTTTACTGTAGGACTGTAGATGGGTAGCTTCAAGAAAACCCAGTGTGGAGTCTTACGGAAAACCAAAATTTACTTTAATGCAAACCATAATTAACACCGAGGACTAAACCACACACCAGAAGATGAGGGAGACAACGGCGTTTCGACTCGATAATGGTCCAGGACGAACTGACACGTCGTCATCTCATCTTCTGGTGTGTGGTTTAGTCTTCATTTCTTCAGCCACGTTATTGTGACTCATTGTCTGCATAATTAAAATGCCTTACCTGTGCAGTCCTAGCAGCATGAATCAAGGTCACTAAAAGCTTGGTGTAAGTATCATAGAGCAAGGAGAGCTGGAAGTGCAGTTTGTAGAGGCAGCGACACAAATCAATGTGTTGCTCGTCTGCGCACACGTCGCGCAGGCTCTCACCTAGAGTTTGTAGCTTCAGCGTTGATTTGATGCCATCGAGACACTGAATAAAGATGATGTAATTATTAGTGAGTGAATAAGATGGTATTTGTTATAATGATACAGTACACTCAACTAGTCCTGCAAGGAATATGTTACCATTTAGTTTGACTGCAGTATAATTTTTAGTGCGGATCGTATGAGGACTACAAATTTTTACATACATCATCATTAGCACATTTCCAACTTTCAATGAAGGGAATATAAGTAGGAATAAGCTAGAGAAAAATGGTGAATATAATGAAACATCATTATAGACATTAAAAAACATTAAATATCCCTCATCTATTCATTATATCATTTATATCATAAAGGGTGTTCCACAAGTCAGTACACAACAAGATATAAATCAGTTTGAAATCTCCAGGAGTGCACATTAATCGGACCACTGTCCTGAATCCTCTGGTCTGGGACCCAGGTGTACCTTACTGGGTATCTATAGATACCCCTCTGGCTGGGCAGGCCAATGGTTTTGCAAGGGTGGTTGCAGGCCCAGTCCCTGATCAATACTGACTGTAATATACAATACACCTGTATATACAATACAATACTGTATACACATGCTGTGTGTGTTCATGTCTCAGGAAGATAGAAGAAGGATTTTCTTGTTATATAATTACCTAAGTTTAATTATATGACAGGAGAAGGATTTTCTTATCTTCCTGAAATGCATTAATCTGATATCTCTGTGGCACTCCCCCCCCCCCCCCCCCAGGGTCTGTTTGTACGTGCTGTTGGGTCCTGAGGATTTCTCTCTCCAGAGGTTTCATCTCTTCCAGAGTTTTCCCTTCAGTCACTTGTGAGGGTCTATTGCAGTATATCCTACGGAATTCGGGGTCACTTCCATGATGCACCCAACAACCTCTAAATTTGGGTCGATGTTGCCTTTTGGCTATGTTATGAGGTTCCGGACTCATCCTGGCTGGCTGACAACCTTTTTCCTTGAGGGGCTTGGCAGGGGGGGTTGTTTTGTTGCTCCCATTTGCTCGAGTGGCATGAAGTGTCAAATGTCTTTCAGGTGTTCTTGGTTCATGGTCCTTATTCTCTGCTGGAGGACTGCTTGTTTGCTTCTGCTCTCACCAGGGATGTGGTTAAATGGCAGCTTCATATTTAGCCACCTGTAATATCTGTGGCCCTGATCACTTATAATTGGGCAGAGTTTGATTTAGGCTTCTGTACCGATTTCTTCAGTTCCGCCTGTTTTGCCACAGCCGTGAACAACTCCGCCACTTGATATCTTTACGGACATGATGACACTGGGTTGGATGCGTTGTGACCAGCACTCACCAGGCCTCCCAGGGTCAGTGGTAGGGTTTGTTTCTATAGGTGAACAGCACAATGTGCAAGTTTGCAACTGTGTGTGGCAGGCATGGAAGAGTATTTGGATATCTCTGGGCTCCGTGCTCTGGCTCCACTCTTACTTCGCCCTGGTAGTTCATTACCTGAACCGTGGAGGGTCTCTTCAGTCATTGTTATCTTGAGGTTATCTCGAGATGATTTCGGGGCTTTAGTGTCCCCGCGGCCCGGTCCTCGACCAGGACTCCACCTCCAGGAAGCAGCCCGTGACAGCTGACTAACACCCAGGTACCTATTTTACTGCCAGGTAACAGGGGAATAGGGTGAAAGAAACTCTGCCCATTGTTTCTCGCCAGTGCCCGGGATCGAACCCGGGACCACAGGATCACAAGTCCAGCGTGCTGTCCACTCGGCCGACCGGCTCCCTACGTCCCCTAGGGAGATGGATGCTGCAGGTGGCATAACTTCTGGATCCTTGGGGTTTAGATCTCTGTGTGGCCCATATGCGGGGCACTACAACGTTCTCGCAGATGGTTTGCCTAAGTTCCGACCCATTTCCATAGAGTGGACCATCAATAATATGTTCCGGTGATTCTGCAAGACATTCAGCTGCCCCCAAAGTGCATGTCTTTATGTTGATGTGGAGCTGTCATCTTCTGTCTTACATGGCTCCACTTCCTGATTGTTACAATCTCAAGCTCGTGGAGGTTGTTTTTTGGCTGGACTAGTCGAAGTACATTTACTTCTTTCCCCAAGTTCAGTTGTTGCTCTGAGTTCTTCCCAGACTGGATTCTTTCTCAGGGAGGGAGATCATTCTGGCTCCATGGTGGCTAGCTCAGCCTTGGTTTCTGGCTCTCCTAGCTCGGTGTCCAAACCCGGGCATTTCCAGTGGCTCTGCTTTCTTTCGGCAGCTTGGTCCACTGATGTACCTCACTGGTCTGACTTGCTCCACAGCTCTTTGTGTCTGAACTTTCTGATACAGGTCTTTTCCTGTCTTTATGGAATGTAGGTAGCAGAGTTACTGGTGTTCCCCCTGCATTTGTCTTCCAAGCAACAGTATGAAGTGGCTTGGTGCTTATTTCACTTATTTCTGGCTCATCATCATCCTTCTTTGGTTTCAGTTCATGCGGTATTGTTTTTTCTTTTGTGGACGTTTCTTGATCAGCACCTAATACCTAATACTGTCACCTCTTATTGTTCCATATTGGTGGAACCGCTGTTAATAGCACTTGACATTGATGCTATTGCAGCTCTGTTTCCCAAGTGTTGTCTTGTGTGTTTTTTCAACTCTTATCTTGCTCATGCTACTTCTGAGCCATCTTGGTTGCTTGACAGAGTCCTCGATTTTCTGTCCTCCCCTAGGTTCACATGTACTGTACTGTACCCCTTTGGATTGGTCTGTGATACCTCTTCTAATGCATTTTTGTTGGCTTTTGCCTCTAGTTGTCGGGTCGGTGAGCTTCATGCTCTTCTCCGAAGGTGGGGGTTCTGCTCTTTTGGCCTGGGAGGGTGTTCATTTGCAGCTGTGTTCTTTTCTGGGAATGAATGAGTCAATGGGATTCTGGAGGGTTCCTTTGGTTATTGATGCTCGATTGATTCAGCACAGGGTGCATCATTTGTGTCATGTGATGACGATTCATTGCTACCTGCATGGATTGATCATGTCTCCTTAGTCCCCTGCTCCAAAGCTTGTATATCTCAGGGTTTCTGCAGTGTTAGCAAGTCTAGCCAGATGTGTTCTAATCCCAGGACCATGATGTTCACAAATACTTTGCTCTTATGGTGGTCTTTTCTAATATGTCTTGGGCAGATATTCGAGCTCAGGGGTTTTGGAGATCATGGTAGCTAGGTCAATGTCCGTGGGCCTTGTTGGTGCTGTGTTGTCCTGGACCGTGTTTCCTGGAAAATGGTCTTCCCATTGAAATAGTTACAGTAACCAGAAACCCATCGTTACATGTAATGAAACACCTCTTTATGGTAGAGTCCCAGTGACTCCCAGTCCCCCTACCTCCCTTCCATGTTTATTGGTTCGTTAGGGTGTTTTTTATCTGTACCAGACCTGGATGATGAGCTTTCACAGGACCGAGCTTCGGGCCTCCTGATGGCGGCGATCAGTACTAACGGGTTCCAACTAGTTTCAAATGAATAATCATTTTGTTTCAAATGAACGTTTGGGGAGCTGCTTACCAGTTTCAAGGATTCGAGTCTTGTTAACCCAGTAGTTGTTTGTAAAGCTCTGCTGACTTTCTGGATGCTTTACTAGAGAAATGATGGAATGTCATTTGCATTCTGCACCTCTGTGAGGGAGAGGGGGCCAGGTTCTGTTTCTGCTCTTCAGTAGGCCAAACTGAACTCTTGCGACTGATGTGACTTGTAGTATTAAGTAATCTCAGCAAGAGAGCTACAGAGAGCGACTCAAGCTTTACCAGAAAGAGGTGTTCATTACTTTCAATGCTGCATTTTTGGATGATTTTTACCAGGATTTGGTACTGAATGCATGTTAATGACACTGGTCAATAGTTTAGTGTTTCATGTCTGTCCTCTTTTCTTGAATATTGGGACTACATTTGCCTTATTCTAGATTTCAGGTAGCTCCTCGGTCTCTAGTGTAATGTTGAACGGTATAGTTAACAAGTAACACTTGACCCGCTGAGGCTTCCTTCAATACCCATGGTGAGATCTGGTTTGGTCCTATTGTATTTGCTTCATACAGTTCCTCCAGGTGGTGGTATAGGTGAAAGCAGGAGTTACTAGTTAGATAGTTTCAGAATGACTACTGACACTCTTCAGGATCCCAATGATTGTTTGGAGGGTTTGGCGAGAGGTTTTGGTGTTTTTTGTTGTGTCCTAATGTGTGGTTTTACCTGGTTGGTGAATGGAGAAATTCTCTCGAATATGCTCCTCACCGCAGGAGTACGGGACAAGGCATTCTGAAAATTATTTGGCTCAGTGTGGTCTCTCAGGGGAATACCAAGGTTATCTTGAGGTTATCTTGAGATGATTTCGGGGCTTTAGTGTCCCCGCGGCCCGGTCCTCGACCAGGCCTCCACCCCCAGGAAGCAGCCCGTGACAGCTGGCTAACACCCAGGTACCTATTTTACTGCTAGGTAACAGGGGCATAGGGTGAAAGAAACTCTGCCCAATGTTTCTCGCCGGCGCCTGGGATCAAACCCAGGACCACAGGATCACAAGTCCAGTGTGCTGTCCGCTCGGCCGACTGCTCAAGGTAGCAGTAACATGGGTTGGCTCACGGACTTGTCTCAGGTGTGCGAAAGAAAAACTTAGAAAATACTTAGAAAAATGCCAACTAATAGCTTACATTTTGTTTATATCGATGTACAAGTTAACATGTTTTGCATTAAAATCCATTTCCCCTTACTACTAAAGTGATTTCTACATCTTGGGCTATAACTGTTGATAACAATGAAAATTGCTCCTACAAAGTAAATAATAGATTTGATCATTTGTGATGACTTACCACATTGGCACTTTCTCTCTTATCAAGGTATGTGTCAAGATGTTCATGAAGTGCTATGAACGTTGACCTAAATCTCTGAGTCAGCTGAGTGACTGCCAGCAACGCAGCATCCGCATACACATAGGCAACGGGTGCAAGGCCTCCCACTCCCTGCTGGACATTTTAGCAAAATCATGAAAATATATAAGTAATATTCGCATTCAATTTCAAGTATTAATATCAGATATTGATGAAACTTCTTTAACTATCACAATACAAAGTATTACATACTCTGGCTCTGACATAAGCAGTTTTCTTGCAATAATTTCATCTTGTTAAAACAATCAAGTGTTGAATGTAACAAAACACCCTTTTCTGGGCGGTCTCAGTAGATTCCCGGTGCTACCTATCTTGAGGTTATCTTGAGATGATTTCGGGGCTTTAGTGTCCCCGCAGCCCGGTCCTCGACCAGGCCTCCACCCCCAGGAAGCAGCCCGTGACAGCTGACTAACACCCAGGTATCTATTTTACTGCTAGGTAACAGGGGCATAGGGTGAAAGAAACTCTGCCCATTGTTTCTCGCAGGCGCCCAGGATCGAACCCGGGACCACAGGATCACAAGTCCAGCGTGCTGTCCGCTCGGCCAACCGGCTCCCTCTCCCTCTACAGAGACAGTCATAACACGCTGGAGCTATAGTGTGTGTCTCCGAACTCCGAACAAGGCGTCTAAACTCTTGGAATCCCATTGAACACAGGACCTGTATCAAGGGTGCTCAGAGGTGAGAGAAGCATGGGAATCTAAGATCAACCTCATAACTGAGAGAAGGTGCCCAGACATTACGAGTGAAGTAAAACAAACTATGTATCCTGATAAAAGAAAAATTGGATTGGTGGGCAAAAAGTATGGGTACAGAGAGCTACTGAAGCCTGTTAGAGCTGGGAGTTTCATGCAGCGGCTGGGGCCCTATGCGGTTCTCTATGGACCATCTGTAGACATACCTGAGTGCTAGTTACCTTCACTGGTTCTATTCTGCCTTTTCTTCCATATCGTTCACTCTAGTACGTTGTTATTTTACTGTGTAGATTTGGTACTTGGCCCTCAAGTATCTTCCACATGTATATTATTTGATATCTCTCTCGTCTTCTTTCTAGTGAATACATTTGGAGAGCTTTGAGACGATCCCAATAATTTAGGTGCTTTATTGTGTCTATGTATGCCTTATATGTTCTCTGTATTCCCTCTATTTCAGCAATCTCTCTTGCTCTGAAGGAGGAAGTGAGTACTGAGCATTAATCAAGACAGGACAGTACAAGTGATTTGTATAGTACAACCATTGTGATGGGATCCCTGGATTTGAAAGTACTCATAATCCATCCTATCATTTTTCTGGCTGACAATATTTGCTTGGTTATGCTCCCTAAACGTTAGGTCGTCAGACATCATTATTCCCAAATCCTTTACATGCTGCTTTCCTATTATGGCACATTTGATTGTGTTTTGAACTCTGTATATGTTTAAGGTCCTCATTTTTACCGTACCTGAGTACCTGAAATTTATCACTGTTAAACATGTTATTTTCTGTTGCCCAGTCGAAAACTTTATTAATATCTGCTTGAAGTTTTTCAATGTCTTCAGCTGAGGTAATTTTCATGTTGATTATTGTGTCATCTGCAAAGGATGATATGAAGCTGTGACTTGTATTTTTGTCTATATCTGATATGAGCATAAGGAAAAGCAGTGGTGCAAGGACTGTACCCTGAGGTACAAAGCTTTTAACTGCACTTGGACTCGATTTTATATGATTGACTGTTACTCGTTGAGTCTTGTTTGACAGAACACTGAGTATCCAGCGATCTACTTCACCGATTATTCCCACTGACCTCATTTTGTGTGCTATCACTCCATGGTCACATTTATCGAAAGCCTTTGTAAAGTCCGTGTATACCACATCAGCATCCTGTTTTTCTTCTATTGCCTCAGTGACTGTGTCGTAGTGATCAAGTAACTGTGAGAGGCACAATCCTCCCGCTCAAAATCCATGTTGGCCTGGGTTGTGAAGGTCATTGGTCTCCATGAAATTGGTGATCTGACTCCTAATCACTCTCTCAAATACCTTTATTATGTGGGACGTTAGTGCAACTGGTCTATAATTCTTTGCCAATGCTTTGCTCCCTCTATTGTGTAGCAGGGCTGTGTCTGCTACTTTAAGTGCATCTGGTATCTCTCCCGTGTCCAAGATCTTCCTCCACACTATACTGAGTGCCTGTGCTACTGGCACCTTGTATTTCTTTATAAATATTGAATTCCATGAATCTGGACCCAGAGCTGAGTGCATGGGCATGTTTTCAATTTCTCTTTCAAAATCTAGTACGCTCATGTTGATATCAGTTATATTTACAGGGGTTTGGATATCACTCAAAGAAATTGTCTGGCTCTTCCACTTTCATGTTGTTTATTGGAGTGCTAAACATGTCCTCGTACTAATTTTTTAAGGATTTCACTAATTTCTTTATCATCCTCCATGTATGAACCTTATCTCGTACGAATAAGTCCAATATTGGCAGTGATTTTTGCTTTTGATTTTGCATATGTGAAGTATTTTGGATTTTTCTTTTGGATTTTTCTTTATTTTCTGAATTGCTTTCTGTTCTAACTGCCTTTCTTCAGTTTGATATGAGTGTTTCAATTTCTGCTTGATTTTTTTAATTTCCCTATTTAAATTGTTCCTTCTTTGTAGGGAAAGTCGTGTCTGCTTAAGCATTTCTGTTATTTTTTCCTTCTTTTATAGTGTCATCTGCGTTCTCTTTCTACGTTGGACCTTATTCTGGCTTTCTTCAAATCAACACGTTTCAGACAGACTTGATACGCTTCCGAAGTCAGTTTTTCAATTCCTTCTGTAGGACTTGTATTACTTAGAACAGTTTCCCATGGAATGTTTGTAAGTTCCTTTTTTTATTTCCCCCAGTCTATCCTTTTATTATTAAAATTGAATTTTCTGAATAACTCCTCTTGCTTGATCAACGTTTTAGGTCTATTCTGAGTATTGATGGTCGTTTGCACTTCAATGAGCTTGTGATCTGAGTATGTGGTATCTGATATCATAATGTCCCTGATTATGTCTTCATTGTCCGTAAAGACCAGATCTATAATATTTTCATTTCTCGTTGGCTCTGATATCTGCTGGTTGAGTGAAAATTTGATAGAATCTAAGTAGTTCTCTAATCTGTGGTTGGTTAGGTCCCGATAGATTTCCTGGTATAATATTATTGTTTGCTATTCTCCATCTTAGACTAGGCAAGTTGACATCACCTAGGAAGATAATATCAGGTATCGGGTTCTCCAAATTATCAAGGCTATTCTCTATTTTGTTTATCTGTTCTGTGAATTCCTCGGCCGTTGCATCTGGCGGTTTGTATATTAGAATAATAACTAAGTTTATTTTCTCTATTTTTAATTCCAGACTTGAAGGCAGTCTGATAGGGTCAGGACTATGTCTTCTGTTGGTCTGGGTAGGCTCTCAGGGTGCCAGATTCTTGGGCCATTGTGTTTCCTGTACGGGGGTTGTTTCTATGCTTGTCAGCACCATTATTTTGAGTTGCAGAAGGATGGAATCTCTTGTGATTCATGTCAGCCCTTTCGTGGTTTGCCCTTTTGATGACCCTGTGGGGGTCATCTCACTCACTTTACCACTTCACAAGTGTTTCGGATTGTTTCCTGTAGCCTATGGTAGAGTTAGTTCTGCCACTTCTTTTAGAGGTTGGAGCTGGTAGGTCAGGTTTCATCCCCCACTGCTACATCAGGCTGTTGCGACGTGGTTGGCCTTAGGCATGGTTTAGTTGACCTTATCCCTTTGCTGGGTGTTCTGAGTGTTCCTGGTCCTGAAGAGCGACTCGGCATCCTTCAGTTTATCTTCAATTTTATAAGTTGAAGATCTTCATTCCCTGTCCGACTTTCTGCAAGACCAATTTAGCCTATGTTTGCCTGGTTCTCCAGTCTGAGGAAAACCTTGGTCCAAAAGTCCCTGGACTTTAAAAATATGTGCTGGAACATCCCTATACATCTGAGGTTTAGGGACTGGTAAGGTTTTGTGATGAGGTATCTTGCTTACCACTTTCAGGTTCTGCTCTCTGGCTTGAATCTGGCCCCCTGTATTTTCAACATGTTAGACAAATTATTACGGCCCAGCTAAATCTTTTAGGGGTTCATGGTTTGGCCTACCTTGACAACTACCTGGTTGGGGCAACCAGTCAGTCTGTGTTGGCTAACCAGGAATCTGGTTCTATCCTAGCTTACCAGGTTTGGGTTCCTGGTGACCGGTAGAAGTTGGGTCTTGTCTGGGACTCGCAGGTGGTGTTTCTTTTCCTTCCTCTTTCAGCATTGCTCCACTTACAGCTCCTTTGCCACCTAGTTCTTGGCCAGTCCCGGGTGACTCAGTGGTTGACTGAATGCCTGTTTAGGAGCCTAAATTTTCTTGGCATGGTTTTTCTCTTAGGCAGAGTTTGGCTCAGGGCTCTGTAAGGGTTTCTACATTTCTACAGTTTCACCTGTTTCAGGTCTCTGCCAAGTGCTTCTTCGTCAACTTTCTCTTCTGGCGTATTGGAGTGACCAGCATTCACCAGGCCTCCCAAAGTCAGTGGTCAGGTCTGTTTCTTTGAGCTCAAAGCATGGTGCACGAGTTTACAGCTGCTGTGGCTAGCACTGCGGAGGATTCGGCTCCCTCTGAGTTCTGTGCTCAGGCTCCACTCCTACTGGTCCCCAGTAGTTTATTGCTTGAACTGTGTGGAGGGGGGTCTCTTTGGTCCTCCTTCTGTGGTGCTGGACACTGTTGGTGGCCTGTCTTATGGATTCTCTTGGCATTTCAAACATTCTTGCAGATGGTTTGTCTTTTTTCCATCCATTTCTATGGAGTAGACTGTCACAGAAGTGTCCTTCCGATGGCTATACAAGATGTTCTGTTGCCCTGAGGTGGCTCTTTGTGCATCAGCATGGAACTGGTGTCTTCCCCCCATACATGATCCCATTCCCCCGACTGCGAGATGCTTGCAGTGGATGCTTTCCGGCTGGACTGGTTGAGGTGGGATGCATGGTGCATTTACCTCTTATACCCAATTCAGTTGTTGCTCCAAATTCTTTCCAGGTTTGAGCTGTTCTCAGGGAAGGTGATCCTTCTGGTTTCTTGGTGGCCAGCTCAGCCTTGCTGTCTGGCTCTTTAGGCCCTCTTCTGGCTCTTCAAACCCTCTTCAGGCCCTCTTCTGGGTCTTCAGGCCCTCTTCTGGGTTTTCAGGCCTTCTTCTGGCTCTTTAGGGCCTCTTCTGGGTCTTCAGCCCCTCTTCTGGCTCTTTAGGCCCTCTTCTGAGTCTTCAGCCCCTCTTCTGGGTCTTCAGCCCCTCTTCTGGGTCTTCAGCCCCTCTTCTGGGTCTTTAGGCCCTCTTCTGGCTCTTTAGGCCCTCTTCTGGCTCTTTAGGCCCTCTTCTGGCTCTTTAGGCCCTCTTCTGGCTCTTTAGGCCCTCTTCTGGGTCTTCAGCCCCTCTTCTGGGTCTTCAGCCCCGCTTCTGGGTCTTCAGCCCCTCTTCTGGGTCTTCAGCCCCTCTTCTGGGTCTTCAGCCCCTCTTCTGGGCCTTTAGGGCCTCTTCTGGGTCTTCAGCCCCTCTTCTGGCTCTTCAGCCCCTCTTCTGGGTCTTCAGCCCTTCTTCTTGGTCTTCAGCCCTTCTTCTGGGTCTTCAGCCCCTCTTCTGGCTCTTCAGCCCCTCTTCTGGCTCTTCAGCCTCTCTTCTGGGTCTTCAGCCCTTATTCTGGGTCTTCAGCCCTTCTTCTGGGTCTTCAGCCCCTCTTCTGGGTCTTCAGCCCCTCTTCTGGGTCTTCAGCCCCTCTTCTGGGTCTTCAGCCCCTCTTCTGGGTCTTCAGCCCCTCTTCTGGGTCTTCAGCCCCTCTTCTGGCTCTTCAGCCCCTCTTCTGGCTCTTCAGCCCCTCTTCTGGCTCTTCAGCCCCTCTTCTGGCTCTTCAGCCCCTCTTCTGGCTCTTCAGCCCCTCTTCTGGGTCTTCAGCCCCTCTTCTGGGTCTTCAGCCCCTCTTCTGGGTCTTCAGCCCCTCTTCTGGGTCTTCAGCCCCTCTTCTGGGTCTTCAGCCCCTCTTCTGGGTCTTCAGCCCCTCTTCTGGGTCTTCAGCCCCTCTTCTGGGTCTTCAGCCCTTCTTCTGGGTCTTCAGGCCCTCTTCTGGGTCTTCACGTTTTCCCGTGGCTCTGCCTTTACCAGTTTATCAGACCGGCGGCGGTGTACCTTGCCAGTTTGACCTTCTCTTCGTCACTTTACTGATGCACAAACTTTCTGATGATGGACTTTTGGACTTTCTGATGCACATCTATCACAGCTTTTATGGTGAGCAGGCGGCTGAGTTATTGTCCCAGATGTGTTTGTCTTCTAGACAAAAGTATGAAGTGGCTTGGTGCTCGTTTCATCTGTATTTGCCTCTCCGTTGCCTTTCTTGTGTTTCGGTTCATGTGGGGTTATCTTTTTTTTTTTTTCATTTTTTTTATTGGCATCTTATGCCTAACACTGTCATCTCTTATCATTCAACACTGGCAGAGCCACCGTTGCTTGTTTTATGTTGATGCTACTGCGGCTCTGTTCTGCAAGTTGTCTTAGGCATTTTTTCACCAATAGCAAGCTACAGAGTCATCGTGATCACTTGACAGAGTCCTGGATTTTCTTTCATTTTCCTAGGTTCATAACCCAGACTGAAGAGGCAGACATCTTTTTTTAAAGCGATTTTTGGCTCTTACCTCTGGTTGTCAGGATGATGAACTTCAAGCTTTTCTCTGGAGATGGGGTTCTGCTCTTTTGACTCCCCTGGTGTTTTCACCCTTTGCAGCCATCTCCTTTTCTGGCGGACAATGAGTTGGTAAGCTTCCAGAGGGAGCCACTGGTTCTTGATGCTTGGTTGATTTGGCTGGAGGCAATTTTTTTTTTTTGGTGCCCGGTGGCAGGAATTCTTTAACCACCTGTAATTACCCAAGTGTAATTACCTAAATGTAATTAGCTAAGTACAGTTGCAGGATGAGAGCTATGCTCGTGGTGTCTTATCTTTCCAGCGCTCTTTGTTTGTAACGCTCTGAAATTACATTGTGGCTCTACCACTTTCTCGGTTAACTTGTTTGAACCGTCAATCACTCTGTGAAAATGAATATTCTATTATTCTTTCAGCAGCTTTGTTTAAGTTAGCTTAAATCTATGACCTTTTTGTTCTTGAAGTTTCCAGGTATCAAGAATTCTTGAACAAATCCACAAGGGCCGTGACGAGGGTTTGTTTGAACAAATCCTCGGATTTGTTCATTTGATGCATCACGCTATTGTGATTTCTATGTGTAATCAAGAACTCTTTTTTATCAATTTTGTTGATTCCCATTACTATTTTGCATATAGCGATCATATTCTCTTTTTCTTTTATCTTCTAGTTTTGGCATATGTAATGCCTCAAACCTCTCCTCGTAGCTCTTATCTTTCAGGTCAGAAAGCCATTTAGTTCAATGTCTTTGCACCTTTTCCAGTTTGTTGATGTGTTTCTTAAGATATGGGCACCATACAACCGCCGCATATTCCAGCTTTGGTCTAACAAAAGTTGTGAACAATTTCTTTAGTATTTCGCCATCCATGAATTCAAAAGCAATTCTGAAGTTAGAAAGTGTAGCATAGTCCCCTCGCACAATGTTCTTTATGTGATCCTCAGGTGATAATTTTTTATCTAGAACCATCCCTGGATCTCTTTCCTTATCATATTTTTTTAAAGCTCTTTCTCATAATTGGCCAATTTTCTGCTATTGGTCTAATTGGTTGTGTGTGGCCTATTTTCTGCTATTCCACATTCCACTGGCTCTGCTCTGGTGGATACCATGTGGGTTAGTCCTGTCTTCTTGTTCTGTTCCAAAGCTCATATTTCTCAGGTTATCTGTAGTGTTATGAAGACTAGCCAGCTTGTGGAATACCACTGGGCCCATGATGTTTGAAAATCCGCTGATCTTGCGGCAGTATTTTCAAATATGTCCTGGGCAAATATATGGGTTCAAGGTTTTTGATGGCCTAACAGGGTCATGGCATCCAGATACTTAGTCAATGTCCCATGGTCTTCGTCGGTCCTAAGTTGCCTTGTGACGTGTTTTCTGGCCATTGGTCTCTCTTTCAAATTAGTACCTGCCTCTTTTCCTCCTCTCTGGGTACAGCCGTCAATTTTCTCTGTGGTTATTTAGCTACAGGAAGCCACCGAGGGGCTCCCCAGTAACCCATCATTGAGCGGGAAAACCCATCGAGAGTTGAGAAACCCATCGACAAAACTTCCTTCTGGTAGAATCCTGATGGCGCCCTGTCTCCTGCCCTTTCAGTTTCATCAGTCTGTTTAGATGATTTTTATCTGCTCCAAAACTGAGTGGCAAGCTGGCAGAGACACAGTTCATAGCCATCTGGTGGAAGTGATTGGTTTGAGCAATTTTCAAGTGAATTATTTGGCTTTGGTTGAATAGTTTGGTGAGATGTTTGGCAGTTCTGAGGCTTCAAGTCTTATGAACCCAGTAGTTGTCTGTAAAGATTTGCTGACTTTCTGGATACTTTCCTGGTGAAGCGGTGAAATGTCGTTTTCTCTTGGTGCCTTTGGAAGGGATCCAGGTTCAGCTCTGCTCCCCAGTTGGCCAAACAGAACTCCCACAACAGATGTGACTTATAATATGGAGCAATCAATAATATGGAGATAGCTACAGGAAGCCCTATCAGAAAGAGGTACTTTATTACATTCAACTGGACTTTCAGCCTTTAATTTTCTATGCTTTCAAGTGATTTCAGCCAACCTTTAGCATATTTAATGTCTGTCTTTGGCTCCATGCTCTGCACTTCTGGTTACTTGGTTGGTTGACAGACTCTTCCTACAGTTTTTCCCCCAACCTCGATAACATGTTATTTAAGTAGCAAATAGATTTCTTGTGCTTTTGACCACTTTCCTGTCTCTGAATTGTGGGCTTTCTAATGAGGTGCTGTGGTGAATAAACATGGGGGCGTGCAACTAAGGGGTCCCCTCCCTGAAATAAAACATGATATGTATTAAAGTACCCTTCTATGATGGGGGCCCGCCACCCAGTGGCTCTCTATCACTGCCCTATTCTTTACTTCGTGTGGGATAATGGGGTTCATTTCAGGGGGTTGATTAGATGCAGCCTCAGGTGATTTCGGACACTCCTTTATCGCAGTCGGGTACAAATTGGCCGATATGTTTCAAATCACAGAAATGATCGTTAGCTTTGTTACTTTCGGGTTCCTAAGTCCTTTGAAGTAGCAATTTATTTGTTTGTGTTTGTGCTTTCCTGTTGTATTTTCTTGGTTTTGAGATGATCTCTGATCCACAAGCTCCCTTCACCTTTTAGCATTTAAGAATATAGTCCTGATTTTCGTTAAGCAAGGGTGGGTCTCAGAGCCCTGGTGCTTAGCATGGGAAGCTACTGAGGGCAGCACCCCGGAAATATGCTCAGATATGTGTCTTATCATTTAAACTAATAAAAACATAATGTCAAAATTAAGGATAATTGAATGCAAAGGTAAATCAGATATAGGAAGTGATTCTGAATGCAACCAGTACACATTCATGCAGGAATCCACTGCATATATCATGAATATAAAGAATAAAACAAATCATATACAAAAGCTAGAGGGTAGTGAACATTACTGTACTGTATATCAATATATGAACAATTTAAAATTACTATTATTAAAGAAAATGATATAGATGAATAAACAATATCATAACGTACCTCCAAATGCTGGAGGAAGACAGCGTAGGTTTGCATCGTGTCTCCACTCTCAGTCAGGTATTGGCTACTGTCGCTCACCACCTCAATGAACTTGGCCACACTCTCCTAAATGTCAACATCAGATACGTATATAAATATTACAACTGCGAGGGAAGCACATGTGAAAATATGAACACAACAACTGGTATAAATATATTAATAATTGTTTGTACTACAGGCAGCCTACAATTCAAGCAGGGCTTTATGTTCTTTCAAGTAATGCAAATCAAACTAAATGTTATGTGGGAAAAATTGGGTTATGTTCCAGACTTTCTAAGGTTCACTATCTAAACGTCTCCGGTAGTTCCCAGGAGTGGAACACTATGGCAATTATCCAAACAATTGGGTCCTGAAACTATCTCCAACCATTGGGACCAATATCTTGCTCCTACGTACAGGGTGGGGGGAAAGGCCACAAGGATTAAAGATCAACCTCCCATTGTATTGAGAAAACTGCAGCCCTCGGTTGTCACGAGCACGAACGTGGAGAGCTCTCTTGATTCTGAGACTTTGATTTTAGATACTTGAGGGAAGTTCAAGCTTTCTGCTATGGCTACTCCTTGTTTGGCCTATTGGGCTGACTGCTTGTAAGGCCAGAAGACTCATTCAGCCTCCCAGCCTGTGCCACTGAGGTACAGAAACAATCAATACTACAGGACCTGTATACACCAGCAGAGCTTACTCGTGCTGTTTGTTCTTTGTTCATATAATTACCAAAGTGTAGTTGGAGGATGAGTGATATGCTTGTGGTGTCCCATCTTCCTAGTACTCTTAGTCATATGATGCCTTGAAACTACTGACGGTTTTGGCCTCCACCACCTTCTCACTTAACTTGTTCCAACCATCTACCACTTTGCAAAAATGAACTTCCTAATGTTTTTTGGTAGTTATGTTCCATTAGTTTTAACCTATGTCCTCTTCTTCTTAAAGTTGCAGTTTTCAAAAAATCTTCTTTGAAAACTTACTATTTTGTATGTAGTGATCATATTACCTATTATTCTTCTATCTTCTAGTTTTGGTATACAGTATTTAATGCTTCTAACCTCTTCTCGTAGTTCTTTTCAGTTCCGGAAGGAATTAAGTTGTCTCACTGCATTTTTTCCAGTTTGTTGAAGTGCTTCTTGAGATATGGGCACCATATAACTTCTGGATATTCCAACTGTGGTTTTGATGTTACAAATGTTACAAACAATTTTATTAATATTTCAGCATCCATGTACAATATTTAAAAGTGATTCTAAAGTTGAAAAGCGTGGCATACATTCCTCACACAATGTTCTTTATGTGGTCATCAGGTGACAGTTTTCTATTCTGAACCACCCCGAGATCTCTTTCTTTATCAGAAGTCTTTAAAGTTCACATAATTTGTAGGTTGTGCGTGGCCTATTTTCTCCCATTCTACATTCCATAATGTGGCTCAATCCATCCCTCAATTATAGACCTGTATCACTGACAAGTATAATTGTCAAAATATTGGAAAAAATAATTAAAACTAAATGGGTAGAACACCTGGTGAAAAATTATATAATGACATAGACAAACAGCATGGTTTTCAATCTGGAAGATCATGTGTAACAAATTTACTCAGTTTCTATGAGAGCCACAAAGGTAATACAGAAAAAGGGATGGTTGGGTTGACTGCATCCATGGTTATCTTGAGGTTATCTTGAGATGATTTCGGGGCTTAGCGTCCCCACGGCTCGGTCCTTGACCAAGCCTCCTTTTTGTTATACATCCCCAGGAAGCAGCCCGTAACAGCTGCCTAACTCCCAGGTACTTATTTACTGCTAGGTGAACAGTAGCATCAGGGTGAAACAAATATTTTGCCCATTTGTCAACGCCTCCACCGGGGATCAAACCCGGAATCTCAGGACTGCGAATTTGAAGCGCTGCCCACCCAGCTGTCAGGTGCCCGAACCTGGACATAAGAGTATGGAGCACCACTTGGCAAATGGAATTTAATGGGAATAAATGCCATGTTATGGAATGTGGAATAGGAGAGAACAGACCACACATAACTTATAAATTATGTGGAAACAGCTTTAAAAATTTCTGATAAAGAAATAAATCAAGAGGAGGGTTCTAGATATAAAATTATCACCTGAGGACCACATAAAGAACACTGTGCGAGAAACCTATGTTACGTTTTCCAATCTCAGAATTGCTTTTAAATACATGGATGGTGAAATACTAAAGAAATTGTTCACGACCTTTGCGACATCCAAGTTGGAATATGCAGCAGTTGTATGGTGCCCATATCTTAAGAAATACATCAATAAACTGGAAAAGGTGCAAACACATGCAACTAAATGGCTTCTGGAACTGAAGGGCAAGAGCTATAAAGAGGGGATACATGCATTAAAAAACAAAACTATAAGATAGACGAAAAAACCAGCGTTGAATGTAATGAAACGCCATTTTCTGGGTGAGTCCCAGAGGCTCCCCGGAGCTATCCATGGCTGATATGGATACCCTAACTATTTTGCATCAGTCGATGTGGGTGGAGTTCTAGGCTTACCGGGGACCACGAGCCAGAACCTGGCCCCCTCAGAGAGGCACGGGGAGCAATGGCCCATAGAAATGCACATGTGATTTGGAGCATTCTATATCTGCCATCGACCGGGACAGGCACCCAGAAAGGTGAGCGCCACAAAACAAACCCCTATTCTGGTTAACAACAAAAATCGACAAACAAGTGGACAGAACTCCCCCAGGAAAACGAACTAACTAGCATGACGTCACACGAGCCGCGCCGCATGTCTGCGCAGCTCCCCCCTCCCCGGGAGGGGGAAGGGGGAGCCCCAGACCCCCGTGCTGGCGATCCCTGCCCCAGTTCTGAGGCTGTATATCAAAACCGCGAAAAAACCCCGCCGACCGGAGGGCGGGAGGGTGCCGGGGAGCCTCCGGGACTCACCCAGAAAATGGCGTTTCATTACATTCAACGCTGGTTTTCTGGGGGGAGCCCCTACGGCTCCCTAGAGCTACCTCACCAAAGACTACCTAAGAAAACAAGTGGACATACCCGGGAGGCGGTCGGTGAATCACTCCTCAACACGAAGTCGAGACAATAACCCAAGGTATATCATTCGCCAGAAAAAAGGGAGAACGGCCGCAGACGAAGAAACCTATGACCACGACCATAGGAGCCAAAAACCACTGCGCCTGAGAAGAGCAAGAAGCTCTGCCACACGACCCCCAGAGGCGAATGCCAACACAAAAAGAAAACCGAGGCAAAGCAAACCTGACCCCAAGGAGCCACAACCACCAAGGAGAAGAAAAACAGGAGAGCACCCTGTCCAAAGACCAGGACGACACAGGCAGTGCATAAGCAGGCCGGAGGTGTAACAACGCACGATACAACCTGCGAAACGGCGCAGAAGGAATATCGATACCGAAAGCTAGCAGCAGAAACCAAGGTGCCAGACCCAGGAACGGCCCCAAGCGCCTCTACATCCTCCGCAAGCCAATCCTATGACAGCCCCAGGAGGGAAAAGAAAACGCAGGACCAAAACGAAAATGCCACAAGCGTGCAAGTCCACCTCCACAAGTGCAGCTGACAGAGAAGGAACTTGCATAAGGAGCCGCCCCGCACCAACATCCCGCAGAAGGGCAGGAGCGAAAAGACTCATTAAGAGGAGCAAAATCGCTCCCAGGAAAACTAGTAGCGCCGAGACAGTGTGAAGAGAAGAGATATTCACAAAAGAACAAAAAGGCCAACACCCAGAAGCTGCCGGGAAGAGGACCCACAAGCCCCAGAAAGGACCGGAGGGAAGCTCAACCGAATGACGACAAACGCACCAGAAAATGGGAAGGAGCAAAACCGTCCCGAACCTTCGAGAACAAAAAGAAGCAAACACAAAGGACGAAGGCATCAAAACCCACTAGGCTCTGGAACTTGAACTGAAACCGGAGGATAGGCGAGGGGCGAGACGAAGACCCCAAACTCATCCCCAGCCAGCACAATGAGGCGAGGACAAGACAGAGAATCCAAGGAACATGGAAAAACCAGGCCCGGCACAGCAAGACTGGCAAGGAAGGAGAGCCCCAGAGGGAGCACGGAAGGGCCGAACATAACGCCACAACCATCCTCGACATGCAGCTGCAGTACCAAAACCGCAGCAAAACGTCCCCACACTCCCCAAGGAAGCAACAGAGAAGATAGATAAATCGTACATGAGTGGCACACAAGGGGACACAGGCGGAAACGAGCACCCAACTGAGCCACAGGGACGGTAGAAGAAACGTGTGCAGTGTAATAGGCAATCAAAGGAACACATTAGGCAGCCCAACATGGGCTGACCCCCATACACAGCCCCAAGAGCAGAGATGAGAGTGCCCAAGAAGCACCGAATCCGCCCAACAGGCAAACGACAGGGAAGAGGCGGAAACAAAGAGCCAGAAACCAACCTGCAAGCACAAGGAGGCGAACACAAAACCTCCGACACAGGAAAACGTATTACCAAACAGGCACCCCCACCGTTGCACTGCGGAACAAGGTGGAGGTGGGGCCCCGAACTCAAGCAAGGTTAGACAAGCATAGGAGAGGGGCAGGAGGAGTACAGGCAGGAACCGCCTCGGAAGGGACAAGAGGCCACCCACAGACACCCGTGAACCGAGGAAGGAATCAGGTGGAGAGAACAAGAGCTGCCCAGTATGGGCTAATAGCCCTGCAGTAGGCACCTCGGGTGATACGGTCCACGTTCTCAAGTACGTATGTACACCCATTCCTGCTCCCAAAATCAAAAACAGCGTCAGGACGAAGGAGACGCCAAAACCGCACCAACTCACCCGCAGAACATAGGCTCTGAAGGGCCATGACGCAAGCGTTCGAGTCCGTATCCGCCGGAGGCGGCCAGTGCACCCATACTGGAGAGGAGGGGAGCAGCGAAGGAGGCTCCCCACCCTAGAACGCAGGGAAAAACCTCATGATTTCCCCACAGCGGCACCCCAGAGCACCCCCAAAGCAACGGGGCACGGATTGGATTAAGAAAAGAGCGAGAGGCGAAGCCCCCCCGAGAGAAATGGAAGCAGAACATGTGTGCACACCGCCCGGAACCAAAACAAACTCCCACGGCGCATGAGCAGGACGCGAAAGAAAGTAGCCCAACAAGGCGAGAAGTAGCCCAACCAGGCGAGAAGTAGCCCAACAAGGCGAGAAGTAGCCCAACAAGGCGAGAAGTAGCCCAACAAGGCGAGAAGTAGCCCAACCAGGCGAGAAGTAGCCCAACAAGGCGAGAAGTAGCCCAACCAGGCGAGAAGTAGCCCAACCAGGCGAGAAGTAGCCCAACAAGGCGAGAAGTAGCCCAACAAGGCGAGAAGTAGCCCAACAAGGCGAGAAGTAGCCCAACAAGGCGAGAAGTAGCCCAACAAGGCGAGAAGTAGCCCAACCGGCGACAAAGGAGCCCAAACGGCGACAAAGGAGCCCAAACGGCGACAAAGGAGCCCAAACGGCGACAAAGGAGCCCAAACGGCGACAAAGGAGCCCAAACGGCGACAAAGGAGCCCAAACGGCGACAAAGGAGCCCAAACGGCTACAAAGGAGCCCAAACGGCTACAAAGGAGCCCAAACAGCTACAAAGGAGCCCAAACGGATACAAAGGAGCCCAAACGGCTACAAAGGAGCCCAAACGGCTACAAAGGAGCCCAAACGGTTACAAGAAGCCCAAACGGCTACAAGGAGCCCAAACGGCTACAAGGAGCCCAAACGGCTACAAGAAGCCCAACCTGTCCAGAACAGAAGGAACCAGTATGGAGGCAAACTCCGGGACATGCAGGAGGTAAGCCGCAAAGGCCAACCGCACCGCAGGCGAAGGGATGCGGTTAGCCGAAAACCTCCTGAAGACGGAACTGAAGAAACCACAGGGACACGGAACCGAACCCGGGGAGGAGCATAACCCAAGCCCAAATCGTACGCAGAGGGGGGAAAGAAAACCCCACTCCTCGCAACAGTAAGCCCCGCTCAGAAGGACTGAAATCCAGGCGGGGCGCAATGGAGCCCAAGGCCCCCAAGGCCACTCCTCCCCAACCCCAAGAGCCTCTGGACCAGGCCCCGGGGCCGAGTCGACCTCCAAAGCCCCGGCCCCACAAGAAAAAGCCGGGGCAGCCGAGAGAGCTGAAAGAGAAGGGGTCCACTGGTCAGACCCCGGAGCATCGGCCGGAGGAACAGACTCGAATGCCTCCACAGCTACCCCGGACGGGGCAACCCCCGAAACTGCCCAAGTCTCAGAACCTCTAACCCCGCCCCGACCCCGAAGCCTGCAGATGCGTAGGGGCCGGAAGCAGGAGGGGGAAAAACAAGGGGGGCGTGGAAGAACCAAGGCCGAAGTGACCAAAACCCCCAAGTCTGGGTCCCCACACAAGCGGGGCATCCGGGGAAGCGACAAACCAGAGCGCGTTGCAACATCCTACCCTGCAACGCGCGAGCTGCCTGCACCCATGGGAATTCATCAGTAGACTGGGTGAATGGAGTCACGAACAAGCAACAAAGCTCGCAGGACTCAAGGGTCGAATGTGTCACCGACCCAACAGGCAGCATGACGGAGGCAAAAACAAGGAGAGTCACCCTAAGACAAAGGGACAGAGCAACCCTCAACTCGCACAAAGCGAGAGGGGACGCAAGGGTCTCCACTACCGGACCCGAGAGCCCCCGGGGGGTTTCCCAGGGCCCCTAGACTGGGTCTGCTAAGGGTTATCCCAAGCAGGGTACTGCTAACCGGCACCCCAAACTACCAAGCAAACTGCTAAAGCTGAACCCACGGGACGTGTCCACTCGCGAGGGCAAAGCAGGGGGTGCCACCACACAAACGAACCTAATATAAGGGGGGGGGAACACAAGGCAGACCCCCCCTACCAGGCAAAAACAAATATAAAAGAAAAACCACACAAGTGGACAACGTACCCAGAGGGAACAGAGCCGGCCGCTGTCATTGGTGAAACCTAGCTACGCAGTACCCTGCGCCCCACCAGTGCTATAACTACCACTTACCCCAAGGTAAACAAGGGAGTAAAACCCCAAACCCTTGGGGCGGCCAAACGCCAAGCAGCGAAAAGCCAACAGAGGGAGACCCAAGGTGACTTGTGGAAGGCAACCCCAAGCCCCAAGGGCGGTACTTACAGGGCACTCAGGGAAGGTGACCCTAAGTACATGCAGCCCGAGTACCTGAGAATACTACTTCCAGCTCACATGACCACTGCAGCAGCACTGCAAACAAGTCACAGCACTGAGACAAGACTGGAGCTGGAGCCACACGACCGTGCATTATCCCATCAGCCGAGGAACTGCGGCGGGGATCGCCGGCGCGGGGGTCTGGGGCTCCCCCTTCCCCCTCCCGGGGAGGGGGGAGCTGCGCAGACATGCGGCGCGGCTCGTGTGACGTCATGCTTGTTAGTTCGTTTTCCTGGGGGAGTTCTGTCCACTCGTTTGTCGATTTTTGTTGTTAACCAGAATAGGGGTTTGTTTTGTGGCGCTTACCTTTCTGGGTGCCTGTCCCGGTCAATGGCAGATATAGAATGCTCCAAATCACATGTGCATTTCTATGGGCCATTGCTCCCCGTGCCTCTCTGAGGGGGCCAGGTTCTGGCTCGTGGTCCCCGGTAGGCCTAGAACTCCACCCACATCGACTGATGCAAAATAGTTAGGGTATCCATATCAGCCATGGATAGCTCCGGGGAGCCGTAGGGGCTCCCCCCAGAAAATATTTTACTGCTAGGTAACAGGAGCATAGGGTGAAAGAAACTATGCCCATTGTTTCTCGCCAGTGCCTGGGATCGAACCCAGGACCACAGGATCACAAGTCCAGCGTGCTGTCCGCTCGGCCGACCGGCTCCCGGTAATTACCTGAGAGCATACTTCACAAACTGCAAACAGCATTATGCATTATCAAACCTGGAGTCGGACAGGAAAGCCGTAACAACCTACTCAAAAAATCACAAAATTACCACAGGGTCAAGGATACAGGCTACCTGGACCTTTTGTGTCATTTCTCCAGTTTGGTACATTGCCTCTGATTACCGCCCTCATTTTTCTGTCAGAAAACTTGTCATCCAAATCAGAAGTCTCCCTGTCACCCTTCCAATATGTCACCTGTCCCACCTGGCAGGTGTGACAGGTGGCAGTGATCACAAAACCAATGCACCTTCCCAAAAATATTAAAAGTAGCCAAGATTGAAATTTCTTCCGATATTTCACAACAACGTTTTTTCTGATAAAGCAGACCGAATCTAGCACAAGTTGACCCATTTGAACAAAATTGTAATGCAGTGAAATCTATGTATCTTCATGAAACTCAAAATATAAACAGGCCATGGAATCTTTCTGAAGATACTGATGATTATAATGCTATCTTGAGATGATTTCGGGGCTTAGCATCCCTGCGGCCCGGTCCTCGACCAGGCCTCCTTTTTGTTACACACCCCCAGGAAGCAGCCCGTAGCAGCTGTCTAACTCCCAGGTACCTATTTACTGCTAGACGAACAGGTGCATCAGGGTGAAAGAAACTCTGCCCATTTGTTTCCGCGTCCCCCGAGGAACGAACCCGGAACCTCAGGACTACAAATCCCAAGCGCTGTCCACTCAGCTGTCAGGCCCCTAATGATTTGTTTAAAGATTTCACTGCATCCAATATGACAATTCCTTTGGTAAAGCTTTTCTTAAGAAATTCAATATGTAAAAGATTAAGGCAATATTTAAACAGAAATAACAATACAAAGTTTTAAGACTAACAAAGGTCATTAATTGAATTTCTGCACTGCATTCACTGTTGGTACCAATAACCTATGCACACACTAACTTGGCTACTATTTAAAGTGACAAATGTGGAATATTTTAAATGGAATTGATTATGTTCTCATAAAACTGATACCATAAAGAATTTTGTTTAAAGTTGGGATCCTAATATAAATCAGTGGCTTTTCCATCCCATATACTGAACTGGGACACAGGCATAACACACTTCAGGGCTGAAATATTACTATCAAACTCGTATAACAATGTGTAATAGGTTTTATAATATTGTCACTTGTATTAAACTGTTCATTATGGCTTACAGAAAACACAGTGTTGAAGAGTGTGCACGTTCTAGTTGGGTGGAGAATGGGCGAGTCGGCAGCCATGAGAGACAACAGGTGTGCACGCCAAGTGTCCTCTAAATCATTAGGTTGCCGAATAGGGCGGAACAACATGGCAGTTATGCTTGGGGAGGCGTTACATGGAGTCATATCCCCAAGATCACCATCGCTGCTTTCACTGTGACTGGGGGAAAAAAAAAGACAGAAAAACATATATAAATTTTAAAATATAATATTCCATACATAGTTGTATAGAAGATCATCTGTAAATGATCGTTATTTATATGTATAGGGGTCAATTAGGTTTAACCTTAATTTATAATAAAGTTACTGTATTTAAAATAAATAATTGATGACCAGACCACACACTTGAAGTTGAAGGGACGACGACGTTTCGGTCCGTCCTGGACCATTCTCAAGTCGATTGTGGATGGTCCAATCGACTTGAGAATGGTCCAGGACGGACCGAAACGTCGTCGTCCCTTCAACTTCTAGTGTGTGGTCTCGTCAACATACTTCAGCCACGTTATTGTGACTCATCGCCTGCAAATAATTGATCCATTTCACTTGAACACTTCATCCTTAACTATTCTGTGGGTAGCTCATCTGCTGGATTCTTGGAGTTTGGTCCTTCGCGCTGTTCACATCCAGGGAGCGTCCATATGTCTGTGGTGAGCAGGTGGCTAAAGTGATAGTGTCCCACCTGTGTATTTCCTCCCGGTGGCAGTATGAAGTAATTTGGTGCTCTTTTCCCCACTATCCCTTTGTCGTCATTCTTCCATTTCTGTTAGTGTTGTCCTTTCACATCTTTCTTGGTTGTTTCTTGACCTGCACCTTATGCCTAACACTGTTGCCTCTTATCATTCAGTACTGGCAGAACCACTACTGCTTGCCTTTGGCATCAATGATGCCGTTTTGGCAGCTGTCTCACACATTGTTTCACCTCCAGCCTGCACAAGTGCCACCTAATCCTTTTCGGTCTCTTGACTATGTTCTCACAATTCTTTCTTCCCCTCGGTTTATGGTTTTCCATTCAGCCCATGGTTCAATCTTTATGGAAGTTTTTCTGTTGGCGCTTGCCTCCGATTGTAGAATCGAGGAGCTGCATGCTTTTCTTCTGAGGATGAGGGGTCCTTTGGTTGTTGGTGCTTGGCTGGTTTGGCTGAGGGTGCATCATGTGCTATGCCAAGTCGCGGCTCTTCGCCACTGCTTGCATGCCTCCGATTCTCCCTCAGTGGATGCTTTTCAGGTTGATCTTTCTTCCTTGGTTCCCTGTTCCAAGGCTCATGTTTCTCAGAGCATCCATAGTGTCATCAAGTCCAACAGGTCTGCAGTCTACCCTCGTGCCCATGATGTTCATAAGTATGCTGCTCTTGTAACTGTCTTTGCTAACATGTCCTGGGCTGGTATTCAGGCAAAGGGGTTTTGGTGATCTAACAGCATCTTGGGAGCCAGGTATTTAGTTAATGTTCCTGGGCCTCATCATGCCTGTGTTGCCTTGGGTTGTTTCTTTAGGTCAGTTATTTCTTCTTCATCTTGAATACCTGTGGTCTCTTCTCCTTATAGGCAACTGCCTTGTCTTTCTTCTCTGTGGGTATTAAACTTGAGAGAGTCACAAGGGGCACTCCCTTTAAAACAGCATTGATTGTAATGAAACACCTCTTTCTTGACAAGCCCCAGTAGCACCCTGATTCCCTCCCTTTCTTCAGGTTCATTGGATGGTGTGTGTGTGTATTCTTAACATCTGCTCCACAACTGGCATGGAAGACTAGGGTAAACCTGGAGCTCCAAAATTTTCCCTACTGGAGGGGAATTAGCGCTAATGTGCTTGCCCTAGTTTTGAGAGATTCAACCATTGTTTACATTTTTGGGGGGGTTGGTTTGCTAGTTTTGAGGCTTCATCTCTTTGAACAAAGCAGTGGTCTGTATTGGTTCGCTGATTTTCTAGATACTTTCCCAGTGGAGTGACAGTGTCACCTGTTTTCTGCACCTCTGTGAGGAGGCCAGGATCAGGACCCGGTTGTCAGTAGGCCAAACAGAACTCCGCAGCTGATGTAACCTAGTAGTTTGGAGCCATCTCAGCAAGATAGCTTCTGGGAGCTATGGTGCTCATCTAGAATGAGGCATTTCATTACATTCAATACTGGTGTTTTCCCGGTTCAGTTATTGCTCCGAGTGGTGCCCAGTCTGGCGTAGCAGACGGGGAGGGTGATCCTTGTGGCTGGCCCAGCCTTGGTTTCTGGTGCTTCTAGCCCAGTGTCTGAACTCATGCATTTATCTATGGCTCCACCTCTTTTCAACAGACTGACCCGGCAATGTACTTCACTGGGTCGAACTTCTTCTCTGCTCTTCACGTCTAAAATTTTTGACGAGACAAGTATGTTTGTCATTTTTATCTTGGTTGCTTTTTGTTTGGCATCTCATTTCTGGAGGAGCCCCAGCGACTGTTTTCCCCTTCCTTTAGGTTTGTCAATTCTTCATTGGGTTGTTCATCAGTTCAAGAACTGACCATGCCACCAGGCCGCTGCCGCCTGGTACAGTATTCTGTACTAATGAATTCTGTACAAGTTTGAGTGAATGCCTTGGGAGTCACTTAATTGGGAATTGGGAATCATCCCTTGGGACTCAATTGGGAATCATCCCTTGCAAATCAATTGGGAATCATCCCTTGGGACTCAATTGGGAATCATCCCTTGCAAATCAATTGGGAATCATCCCTTGGGAATCAATTGGGAATCATCCCTTGGGAATCAATTGGGAATCATCCCTTGGGAATCAATTGGGAATCATCCCTTGGGAATCAATTGGGAATCATCCCTTGGGAATCAATAGGGAATCATCCCTTGGTAATTAATTAGAAATCATCCTTTGGGGAACCCCTTGGTATTTGTGAAGATGTTTGGCACATTTGAGGCTTCATTTTTTTTTTAACCCCTCCAGTTGTCTGTAAGGAATTTGCTGACTTTCTGGTGTTTTCTTCAGTGGGATGGTGGAGTGTCACTTGCTACCTGCACCTCTTTGAGGGTCCAAGTTCTTGCTCTGGTCCAGAATTACTCTTATATCTTTTTCCTTGCCAGACGCTACTAAATATTTTCCATATACAGTAATTTCTAGGTTAAGTGTGGCCTCTTTCTCCCCTATTCTCAATTCCTTGAGAGCCCTTTGGAGTAGACTGCCTTATTACTCAAGTATTGCACATTTTTAATCTAGTTCGATTTATTATTTCCTTCTATTTTCGATAATTAGTTTTCTTCTTTATAATATTCGAGAACAGTAGAGCCTGGCCCCAGGCCGGGCTTGGGGAGTAAAAGAACTCTCAAAACCCTCCCCAGGTATGCTCTCCTGTACTATATATTTGCTGAGGAAGCCTAACAACCCGAAAACAGGGTCTCGGTAGTACAGTCGGGTTCATTCTCGATTCACAATCCAGAATCCTGGGTGGGACAGAAATGGTTGGCTGCATTTCCTATCACCTAATGCTACTGTTCACCTAGAAGTAAATAACTGCCCAGGGATTAGTCAGCTTGCTGTGGGGTTGATTCATGGGGAGGGTCAGTAGTTCGACCTGGAGGGAGGGGGGACCTCGATATAAGCCTAATGTATATAGTATACTGTATATATACACCTGGGTGCCTGTCCCCTGACACAGTAAATTAAAGGTACAGTATTATAATTATTAAACTGAAAGATACTATTTTATTATTTTATTGTTCAGTCAAAGCTAAATTGTGTGGTGTTTTATATTATGAAATTCCAATCTATTAAATAGCAATTTGTATATTCATACAGTACTGTAATATTATAGACAAGATGTACAGTGCTAACTTATTAAATACTCTACTGTACTTATCTTATAAACTAAGTTATTGTATACTTTTCTTTTTAATTCCGTGTGTACATGTAGTCAGTGTTCACTTGTGATAGGAGTCAAACAGTAAATGTAATAACCACTCACTCGGACATTGATGTGGGTGAAGCAGGCCGGCGTGCAGCAGATGTGTCAAGAGTGAGCTTGGGTGGCATGACAGTACTAGCAGCAGCGGGCTGAGCGTGGCGAGCGTGAGGCACTGTTGACCGCTCACCGCCACCCAATGTCGGATCATCCACGGGGGAGACTGACCCCTCTTCCTCCCACCACTCGTGATCGGCTGGGGGAGTGGGCTTCTTACCGTGAGCGGGAATCAGTTCGGAACTGTGGATGTCGTCCACGTGGCTGGAAGGGTCAATATCTCCGAGGATGCTTGGTGATCGACGACGAACGCCCCACAAGTTGAAGTTGTCCACACTCTCCTCCTATATATACAGTAGTATGTGCCGTGAGACATTTACATAATGGAAAATTTCTAAAGATGCATATTTTTTTTCCTTAAAATTATCTTAATTATACTCTTTTTCTAATTTTGTTAGTCTATTTAATCAAGAAAAGTTTGATTTAACATCATTAACGAAAGAAACAGAACATGATATATTCAACAGCAATCTGTATGCTGTGCATCTCAAGCATTCTCTTTAAATTTACTTCTAGAAATATGCAATAAACTCATTCTCAGAAAATTAAACCTAAAACCTATTATTCCCAACAACACATGCATCATATATATCATTCAATTATTCCTAAGATTTATCCAATGTATCGCTTGTGAGTGTAATTACTGTGTATTTTCTTGGCATTTTTGTTTTCTTAGCTTGAATGTATGGCCTTTTGTTCATGAAGATAAAGGTTTAAAAATTGCCACCTTATCAAATATATCGATTCCTGTCAGTATTTTGTATAGGGTGATCATATCACCTCATTTCCTTCTATCTTGAGGTTATCTTGAGATGATTTCGGGGCTTTAGTGTTCCTGCGGCCCGGTCCTCAACCAGGCCTCCACCCCCAGGAAGCAGCCCGTGACAGCTGACTAACACCCAGGTACCTATTTTACTGCTAGGTAACAGGGGCATAGGGTGAAAGAAACTCTGCCCATTGTTTCTCGCCGGCACCCGGGATCGAACCCGGGACCACAAGTCCAGCGTGCTGTCTGCTCGGCTGACCGGCTCCGGGTAACAAAAGTCATTTCAGAGCTAAGTCATCTCTTGTATCAGGAATAATTGAAGGCCACTGGACTAACAACACTGCAAACCAGGCATGGGGGACAAGCTGCCAGCTTCATGTCTCCGTCGAGATCACTAGGATTAGTGTCTCTCAGGTAAATGAACTACCAAAATTGATGTATACTAAGAGGAGGCAACCCAAACCCTTCAGGAAAGAAATCCTTGAAGATGGAGGGGCAATGCAAGTTGGCACCAGGAAAGATATTCCTGGTCACAATAGCTGGACAGAACTGTCAAATCAGGTCACACACACAAGGTGAGTGGGACAAGACACACACATACACATGAAGCTAAATAAGGAACAGCACAAGTAATGACTCGAAATAGACCTAGTGTCCCAGGGATCGCCAACACCACATATCTGAATTTCAAAGGACAACGGAACCCCTGTAAGGCTGAGTGTTACCAAGTGTGCACCAGGCTTGTGCATGAATGGGTTGGCTGGCTGGCCAGAGGCCCTAGATCACCTGGGCTGCCATCTAATGACAGGCAAGGGTTGCTAGGCAGTGATTCTACTGTGGTATCGACTGCTTATGTTATTGTCAGGGTTGTAATTTTTTTCCAACCAGTTGCTTGTTCTGGAGAGTTGATTTTCTTCCAGGTGGTCAACATGAGAGAGAGGGGGATCAACATGAGAGAGAGAGGGGGGTATGTTGCATGGTGCCAACATGAGAGAGAGGGGAGAGGGGGGGTCAACATGAGAGAGAGGGGGGTCAACATGAGAGAGAGGGGGGTCAACATGAGAGAGAGGGGGGTCAACATGAGAGAGAGGGGGGTCAACATGAGAGAGAGGGGGGGGTCAACATGAGAGAGAGGGGGGTCAACATGAGAGAGAGGGGGGAGAGAGAGGGGGGTCAACATGAGAGAGAGGGGGGTCAACATGAGAGAGAGGGGGGTCAACATGAGAGAGAACATGAGGGGGGGGGTCAACATGAGAGAGAGAGGGGGGGGTCAACATGAGAGAGGGGGGGGTCAACATGAGAGAGGGGGGGGTCAACATGAGAGAGAGGGGGGAGAGAGAGGGGGTCAACATGAGAGAGAGGGGGGTCAACATGAGAGAGAGGGGGGAGAGAGGGGGGGTCAACATGAGAGAGGGGGGGTCAACATGAGAGAGAGGGGGGTCAACATGAGAGAGAGGGGGTCAACATGAGAGAGAGGGGGGTCAACATGAGAGAGAGGGGGGGTCAACATGAGAGAGAGGGGGTCAACATGAGAGAGAGAGGGGGGGAGGGGGGTCAACATGAGAGAGAGGGGGGGGGGGGGGGTCAACATGAGAGAGAGGGGGGGTCAACATGAGAGAGAGGGGGGTCAACATGAGAGAGAGGGGGGGGGTCAACATGAGAGAGAGGGGGGTCAACATGAGAGAGAGGGGGGGAGAGGGGGGTCAACATGAGAGAGAGGGGGGGTCAACATGAGAGAGGGGGGGAGAGAGGGGGGTCAACATGAGAGAGAGGGGGGGTCAACATGAGAGAGGGGGGGAGAGGGGGGTCAACATGAGAGAGAGGGGGGGTCAACATGAGAGAGAGGGGGGTCAACATGAGAGAGAGAACATGGGGGGGGGGTCAACATGAGAGAGGGGGGGTCAACATGAGAGAGGGGGGGTCAACATGAGAGAGAGGGGGGGGTCAACATGAGAGAGAGGGGGGTCAACATGAGAGAGAGGGGGGGTCAACATGAGAGAGAGGGGGGTCAACATGAGAGAGAGGGGGGTCAACATGAGAGAGAGGGGGGTCAACATGAGAGAGAGGGGGGTCAACATGAGAGAGAGGGGGGTCAACATGAGAGAGAGGGGGGGTCAACATGAGAGAGAGGGGGGTCAACATGAGAGAGAGGGGGGTCAACATGAGAGAGAGGGGGGGGGGGTCAACATGAGAGAGAGGGGGGTCAACATGAGAGAGAGGGGGGGTCAACATGAGAGAGGGGGGGTCAACATGAGAGAGAGAGGGGGGGGTCAACATGAGAGAGAGGGGGGTCAACATGAGAGAGAGGGGGGTCAACATGAGAGAGAGGGGGTCAACATGAGAGGGGGGGTCAACATGAGAGAGGGGGGGTCAACATGAGAGAGAGGGGGGGTCAACATGAGAGAGAGGGGGGTCAACATGAGAGAGAGGGGGGGTCAACATGAGAGAGAGGGGGGGGTCAACATGAGAGAGGGGGGGTCAACATGAGAGAGAGGGGGGTCAACATGAGAGAGGAGGGGGAGAGAGAGGGGGTCAACATGAGAGAGAGGGGGGTCAACATGAGAGAGAGGGGGAGAGAGGGGGGTCAACATGAGAGAGGGGGGGGGGGGTCAACATGAGAGAGAGGGGGGTCAACATGAGAGAGGGGGGGGGGGTCAACATGAGAGAGAGGGGGGTCAACATGAGAGAGGGGGGGGTCAACATGAGAGAGAGGGGGGGGGTCAACATGAGAGAGAGGGGGGTCAACATGAGAGAGAGGGGGGGGTCAACATGAGAGAGAGAGGGGGGGTCAACATGAGAGAGAGGGGGGTCAACATGAGAGAGAGGGGGGGGTCAACATGAGAGAGAGGGGGGTCAACATGAGAGAGAGGGGGGTCAACATGAGAGAGAGGGGGGTCAACATGAGAGAGAGGGGGGGTCAACATGAGAGAGAGGGGGGGTCAACATGAGAGAGAGGGGGGGTCAACATGAGAGAGAGGGGGGGGGGGTCAACATGAGAGAGAGGGGGGGGGGTCAACATGAGAGAGAGGGGGGTCAACATGAGAGAGAGGGGGGTCAACATGAGAGAGAGGGGGGTCAACATGAGAGGGGGGGTCAACATGAGAGAGGGGGGGTCAACATGAGAGAGAGGGGGGGTCAACATGAGAGAGGGGGGGGTCAACATGAGAGAGAACATGAGAGAGGGGGGGTCAACATGAGAGAGAGGGGGGTCAACATGAGAGAGAGGGGGGGGGTCAACATGAGAGAGAGGGGGGGGGTCAACATGAGAGAGGGGGGGTCAACATGAGAGAGAGGGGGTCAACATGAGAGAGAGAGGGGGGGGGGTCAACATGAGAGAGAGGGGGGTCAACATGAGAGAGAGGGGGGGGGGGTCAACATGAGAGAGAGGGGGGGGTCAACATGAGAGAGAGGGGGGTCAACATGAGAGAGAGGGGGGTCAACATGAGAGAGAGGGGGGGTCAACATGAGAGAGAGGGGGGTCAACATGAGAGAGGGGGGGGTCAACATGAGAGAGAGGGGGGGTCAACATGAGAGAGAGGGGGGGGGGTCAACATGAGAGAGAGGGGGGTCAACATGAGAGAGAGGGGGGGTCAACATGAGAGAGAGGGGGGGGGGTCAACATGAGAGAGAGGGGGGTCAACATGAGAGAGGGGGGGTCAACATGAGAGAGAGGGGGGTCAACATGAGAGAGAGGGGGGGTCAACATGAGAGAGGGGGGGGGTCAACATGAGAGAGAGGGGGGGGGGGTCAACATGAGAGAGGGGGGGGTCAACATGAGAGAGAGGGGGGTCAACATGAGAGAGAGGGGGGTCAACATGAGAGAGGGGGGAGAGGGGGGGTCAACATGAGAGAGGGGGGGGTCAACATGAGAGAGAGGGGGGGGGGGGTCAACATGAGAGAGAACATGAGAGGGGGGGGTCAACATGAGAGAGAGGGGGGGTCAACATGAGAGAGAGAGGGGGTCAACATGAGGGGGGGGTCAACATGAGAGAGAGGGGGGTCAACATGAGAGAGGGGGGGTCAACATGAGAGAGGGGGGGGGGGGTCAACATGAGAGAGAGGGGGGTCAACATGAGAGAGAGGGGGGTCAACATGAGAGAGGGGGGGGTCAACATGAGAGAGGGGGGGGTCAACATGAGAGAGAGGGGGGTCAACATGAGAGAGAGGGGGGTCAACATGAGAGAGAGGGGGGGTCAAGAGAGAACATGAGAGAGGGGGGGTCAACATGAGAGAGGGGGGGTCAACATGAGAGAGAGGGGGGTCAACATGAGAGAGAGGGAGAGAGAGGGGGGTCAACATGAGAGAGGGGGGGTCAACATGAGAGAGAGGGGGGATCAACATGAGAGAGAGGGGGGTCAACATGAGAGAGGGGGGGTCAACATGAGAGAGAGGGGGGGTCAACATGAGAGAGGGGGGGTCAACATGAGGGGGGGGTCAACATGAGAGAGAGGGGGTCAACATGAGAGAGAGGGGGGGTCAACATGAGAGAGAGGGGGTCAACATGAGAGAGAGGGGGGA